TATACCATATTTTAAAAATTAAATTAATACAGTTCTTTTAACCATAACAGAGGCGCTATGACCCATAACGACTTAAAGGCGCTATAGGCCATAGCGACTTCTATTTTTTATTTTTTCCTTTTTTTATAATTCATTTTTTTCGTTTATTAGAAATGTTTTTTTCCCCGTTATTTATACCATTTTTTTCTTCACTTTTTCATTTCTTTTATATATTTTAAAAATTAAATTTATATAGTTTTTTTAACCATCACAGAGGCGCTATGACCCATAGCGACTTAAAAACGCTATAGGCCATAGCGACTTCTATTTCTTAAATATTTTTTTTTCAAATTTAATTAATAGTTTTAAAATAATCAAGCCGTTGTGTGTCGTTATGGGCTGTAGCGACTTTAGCAGAAACGCTATGGGTTGTAGCGACTTTTGTAATATGGCGTTCATGGCTTCTTAAAAAAAAAATTTAACACGTGTCACTGGTGTCGTTATGGCCCATAGCGACACTGTTAAAAACAACCCTAAAGGTGTAAATAGTTTCAAAACAGCCCCATTTGAGTAATTTGTTTTAAAAAAAAACTCTAAAATTGGCAATCAACCCGTTTCCTACTTAGAATTGTATCGTTATTGAATGAAGCTGTCGGATGTGTCTAGTGTTGTAGAAACAACAGACATGTTTCTCCTTATTTTGGAGAAAAAAAGATGGTTGAATTCTATGAGGAGGTGGCGGTTGAATGGCTGATGATAGAAGGATGCTAGGGTTCTTTTCATTTCTAGAGTCAGAGAGGATGCTGGACCTGTACCCCAAAATTGGGCCCTTCTGTTACCACTCAAGTTTAAGGTAATATATTAATTATTATTTTTAACATGTTATAAAATTAATAATATACATGTCAATATACAACTAAAAAATAATACATTACAATACAAAAAAATCAACAATTAACTAAGGTCTATTTTGGTAATTATACAGTTAAAATCAATTTTGATAACTATTTTCCAAACATCATTTAATATGAAAATTAATTTTCTAATAAATATATTCAAACAAAAATCACGTTACTTTAAAATCACGTTTACTTAAAATCAATTATATAAAATCACGTTAATTCCAAATCAATTCTCCAAACGCAAATCCAAACACATACTATGTGGTCATAGTCTGAGAAGCCAGCACCTAGAATGGCTTATGGAGTTTCCGACATGCAAAAAGTGAAAATGTGATTTGATGTGTTATCATAAGAACCATAGAAATTCCCTTTATTAACGTTTCCTACTTAGATTTGTATTGTTATTGAATGAAGCTGTGGGAGAGCTTGTGTTCAGAATTTATTAGGAATCTTAAAGGTTAGTTCGGGTTAAAATAAAAATTCGGTCTAAATTAATTAAATTTAATTACTTTAAATTTTATAATTTTTTTTCTTAACTTAAACTAAATTAATTTGGTGCTTATTGAGTTAGTTCGATTCAGGTAATTAGATATTTAATAATTTTTTAAAAGAAATTAAATTAATTTTTTTCTTGAAAGTAAATAGATTCTTAATATTATCTAAATTGATATATTATTAAAAATTAAATTGATGGATTTGTCATATAATTCTTGTTATTTTTTTTAATATAATTAAAGATTTCAAATACACTACATTATAAAAATGATACATAATATATTGTAATATAGTTTTAATTTCTTTTAGTATTTGAAAAAAAATAAAAAAATCTATATATTACAACATATAAACATTTTTAAAATAATTAAAATAATATATACATATTAATTGTTAACTAAATAAAAAATGATATATAAATTAATTGATTTAATTTGAGTTAGTTCAAATTTTAAATGTGTAAATTCCATATTTAAACTAATTAATATTGAATTTAATTGGTGGAATTCGGATGTTGTATTCGTAGATTGAAATGATATAAACACCTAGAATTTATGACGGTTGTTGTTGTTGTTGGAATTGAAGGCTTATGACTCAGTTTGGACAGTGGACTCTAGGGTACAATGTCAGAAGTTAACCATTTTGTTACTTGTTTTCTTCACAAAACAAAAAGAAGCCCTGCATTCAGTTATCATTGCATTATTATAACCAAGTTTTTCTTGGTCAGGATTTTATTGTGTTGCAATATAGTTTGTTGTAAGGTTCAATATAGTTCTAGAAGTAGGAATTTCTGCTCTTTGATTACTTACTGTTCTTGGTTTTGGTACTCTAATTGATGTTATTTACATTGTATACCTCGTCGTAAACATGTTAATGAACATGAGCTGCATGTCTCGATTCTTCTTTAGTTAGATTGGTACATCATCTTTAAGAGTTACATGGTGATTAACGTTGCACTGTTTCCAAAATTGAAACTTTGCTCTTGTAGAAAAAGGTAAATACATCCTGAGAATTTCTCCTATTCTCGTGTTAATCATTTTCGTTTTTCTCATGGGATATTTTTATGACAAATCAAAATGCATTTTATTAGTGTTGGCATCATAGTTAAACAAACGACAACTACACGTTTGGGAAGTTTGGCAGCTCCATTAAATGTTAAAAAGACTTAAAGCTGCACAAGTACTATTGCCGTAGATTTGATGTTGTGCTGTAACAATAACTATGATTGAATGCTATCTTCATTCTTCAATGGACAAAAACTTTGGCGAGGGAGTCATTCTATGGTGACCCTTTTAAGAGAAAAAAAAAAAAAAACTTTATAATATAAATGTACACAAAATCTCCCAAGAGAGCCTGGGGGGAATTTGTGTGCATGACTAAACAAAATTTAGAATGAGAAATAGGAAAAGATCTCCAACGTCGTTATCAGCACCTCAATTTGATCGCTGTTGATCAAATCTTGAATGTGATAGTAAAGAAACTTTTGTAGATATGGTCCAGTATGTAGGTCTGCTTCATTTGACAATTTTGGCCCGGAAAGTCAGCAAATACTACGCAACCTCAGAACTGTACATGATGTCAGTGACGTGGGGAATTTTACTAGTGATACACAAAAATCCCTATATCAAAGATTCTACCACCATTGCTGCAAGAAACTTTGGTCGGCAGTTCTCACTCAGTTACTTTTCAAAACCTGCCTCTTTCTTCTTTACACACTATCTTAGTATGAGAGATCCACACATGCTTAATGAATCCAATGTCTTAAGTCTTAATCCCATCTTCAAAGTATCCTTACTTACTTTATTAATGAATAAAGATAAATCATAATTATACATATCAACACATTTCCACCTCAATCTTTTTGCGGTATTTATCAAAGTTCGTACTCTTCAATAGATTTTGGTTAATAATAATATTAAGAATGTTAGAAAGGGTATTATTAACATTTTTTTTCAAAACTATTACTTTTTCCTCTCTTATTATTATCTTTTACCTTCTCTTCACGTCACTTCTATGCACTCCAAAATGGAGCGAACGTTTAACATTTTTTTTAAAGAAATGTATATATCATGAAAAATCATCACTAGCATAAACCGTCAGTGTTTCTTTTTTAAATAAAGATAACAATATTATCTATGATGGGTAGAACTCTATTTGAGTCTTTTAACATAATTACATACTTAAAACTAAAATTCACGGTTATTGATTAAACCAAAATAATTTTATGCTAGTTGATAAATGCAATCGTTATACTGTTTACATTATTATTATTTTTTTATATTTATAACTAAATATTTGAATATTTTAATATGGTCAATGACTAAGCTAAATATTATGAACATCATTTATTAAATATCTATAAGAGGGTTATTATTAATTTTCATAATACATAGAATTGATTTGTTTACAACCAAATAATAAAAGACATAAATTAATGCGGTCCAGCACCACTTGTAAGGGGAATGGGATTCAATATGAATGAAGTTGATGGGATTTCCGGGTTTCGGCCTATTTGTAATATTCCCATATCTAATTATGTATGTTACTATATATTTATAAATAAGTGTATAGATTTGTAATACTAGTATACTACGATGGTTATAATTGATGGTTTCAACAACCACAAAAATATTTATAAATCGTAAACAGCGTGGGCATTATTGACAAGAATCTTATTCTCAATGCGAGGGTTGCGTTATTTAGAGTTTGCGAAAGAATCATATGAGAATATTTTGTGCCTTCTCCCCTTCACCTACTTGATTAACACCATGTTTTTCCCTTTTGTGCCTTGTTCGCTTCACTTACTCGACCAACGCCATGTTTTATAATTCAAATATTCTTATCATGTCGAATATTTTTTAATGGCAATGCATCAAGGAAATATATATAGGCAAGAGATTAACTGACATCAATAGATTTTTATTAATTTTTAGAATACTAAAGGGGCTATCAATCATTGTAACTAACATGCATTTAAGTAAACTACTATTAAGACAAAATTCGCTTCGCTTGCTTCTCTTATTCATTAGAAGAAAAGCTTATTGTCAAAAAGGTACTTTTGGTATAAATTTTATTTTTGGTGCAATAGAAATCTACTTTTATTCCTTGAACCATATATACTGAAAGATGTTTAATTAAATATCTACTTTCCTTATATCTTCACTTTCACCAAGAAGAATAATGATCTTTTCCTCCTTAACGTGAAAGAAAGAATTTCATAAATGGAGTATTGAGTTCTATGTAAAGAAGGATGCGAATCAAATCCATGTGCTGATGCCTCAAAAACTTAGGCACTACCATCGTTGTGGCGAGGCTTATATGCTCACCCGTAGGGTATCGCTTATTTTCATAAAGTTTAGGATTAGATAATAAAGAACCTCTTCCCTACTTTCTTTGGATGCCCCTTTTGTATGTATTCTTTAGATTATTTGTTATCATACTTTGGGTCGTTTTTTTGTCTCAAAAAATTCATTTTGCTTTTGATAATTCTAATAAGCAACAGTCAACGTTATTCGGAACGGAGTTTTTAGTTTTTCCAAATTTTCATCTCATGATAATCATTCTCAATCTGACAAAACAAAATAAAAAAAATAAGGCAAAATAATGAAAGGGTGGTGTCAAATATCAGTCATAAACATTAACAGTTGCTTCTTATTAATTGGTGAGCCCACAACACAAAACAAACTCCTATATACACAGTTCATGCACACTACAACCTAAGGTAAGAGTTGTTTGGTGCATATGGGACTACACAAATGGTTTCTTACAAAATGATGGTTTTTGAGCAACATTCTCCTAACTAACTAGGCAGTTTCACTGCCACTACTCAACAATCAACATGGTGAACCAGGAGGAGGAGTATCACCCACACTGCCACACGTCTCAGTCAAATCAATGACAGTGGGTACGGCATCGATTACTTCCCCACTGTTGCCGTTTGTAGAAGCCCCCTCCCGGGACACTCTAGCTTTCTTTCTTCTCCTTCCTTCTACTTCAAAGATTCGATAAATGCCCATACCAGATCTCTACATTAGAGTTCAAAATTTGTTCATTAGATATAATGACAAATTAACAAGACCCGAAATTTCAGAAGGAAAAGGCGTTGCATTGAATCTGCTCAATTTTTATGAGTGGTGATAAATATTCGTCTCATTTTCAGGGTAAAAGTAAAACAGATTGATAAGAATATAGATCAGAAATGTCACGATAAATAATCACCTTAATTATTTTGGAGTGACATGAAGAAAAAAAAACGTCTTATCTCAAATGAGTTGTCATGATAAATAATCACCTTATTTTAGAGTGAGATGAAGAAAAAAAACGTTTTTTTTTTCTCAGAAGAGTTGTCATGATAAATAATCACCTTATTTTGGACTGACATAAAGAAAAAAAGCGGTTTTTTCTCAAAAGAATTGTGATAAATGTGAACAAGAGAAAGTGAGAGATAAATAATGAACAAAGAAAATTGAGGGTAGGTTTATAATTTTCCTAACAATGATGGTGGAAATGTTGTATTACCATGGTTGGGTTAGATTTGAGAATCAGATGAAATTCATTCATGAGCCAGTTAGTTCTTGTGAAATTGTCACCATTGCCTTCCCAGAAGACGTAAGTATTTCTTTTTGCAATGACCTCTTTGCCAGAAAGCTCTATTTGCTGGCCTCTTTCAACTCCTCTCCATTCTCCATTTCCAGCACCAATCTTCTGAGGGTTTTCAAACACACGGTCCTTGGGGTCATAGAAGAAAAACTTCTGCCAATTCAAATACCTCTCCCCTAAAAAAAACACACACACATAATTAAGCAAACAAACACAGATTAAACTCGAAATAAAAACATCATTTTGATCCAGCTATTAGTTCATTCATGGGACATGAAAAAATTGGGCTTTTTTCGGAGACTAGATATATACATCTTTCACTGTAAAAAGAATCAACAAGATTCATCCGGTTGCGTGGTTCATTTCGCAACTGCTCAAGTTGGGGGAGTGACGTCATTCCTACAAAAGAGATTTTTGAAGAGAAGTGGTGAGGGGTTTGGGGGGTCACTAAATCCTGGATCAAGGCTTGGACTCAACTGACTCAAAAGATCAAAACTTGTGAGAATGGTCCACCAAATAATCAAAGACTGGTTAAGAAAAGCATAAAAAAAAAAAAACATATATGTTTTAGAGTTTAGACCAACCTCCTTGCAGCCTCCATGGCTCAGTTTGGAAAACATCACATTCGGGTACGAGGTTATGGGGAAGTGGTTGAGATAATATCTTCTTCCGAAGGTAATAGCCTGTGAGAACTTCATCTGTGGGATCAAAACGGTAACCTATTGGGAGCCTATAGGTTCTTGCCTCACTTTCATTTGGAAGCTCCATCTCAATTCTCACCCAAGGACCTTTCTCTTCTTTGAAAACGAAGGAACTGTTTCAACTCTCTGAGTGAATCACTGTGGCAGGGAATGGTGCTAGGATTTTAATTTATAGATGCAAGGCATGCAGTGTGATAGATGTGTCTGAGTAGGAGAGAGACAGACAGAAAAGCAAGATGTAGAGAGAGAAACTTAAAAAAATGAAGAACTTAACTCATATCCTTAAAATCTTGATTTCTTTTGACTTTTGAGATGAATAGACGGTTTTTCTTTGTATTAGATTATTTTTTATAAGAGGTGAGTGATAAAATAAATAATAAATATATAAATTTCTGATTAAAATATTTTTTCAGTCTTTATAATTTTATTGATTTTATATTTTATTTCTTATAATTTAAAATATTTTTTAATCTTTATATTTAAATTTTTTAAAAATTTATTTTATCTTTATAATTCATTTTTTAAAATGTGATTATCGTTTGTATGAATGATGTAAATTTATTAAATTTATGTAGTATTTAATTTTTTGAAGGCTGATACATCATTTAATAATTTATTATGTAGCTATCAACGATTTAATTATTTATCTAGATCACATTTAATCATAATAAACATTAATTATATATAAAATTATCTTGATACTTTATTCTTTTATCTTTCCAAACTATTAAGTGAGACATTTCGGTCTACAAAATTAAATACATTATTATCACATAAACTTAATAACATACATTATTCACACAAAAATAATCTTAAAAAATTAATGATAGAAATTAATTTTTTTTAAAAAAATGCAAGTATAGGAATTAAAAATTTTATTTTAAATTATATAGACTAAAAAGTAAAGTTAATTAGTGAGACTATTGAAAAAAATATTTTAACCTAAATTTATTAAGTACATTGAATTGGCTTTTTTTTATTTTATATTTTATATCCGTGTTTCATGATTTCACTTTATATTAATTTAATTTAAAGGTAAGTAAAGTTTATTTAAAAATTATTTTCGTGAAAGATTAAACTTTATCCACATTGAATTAATTTGGATGATGAATTTGGATATAAAAACATTATAAATTTATTTTGAAAGAGATTAATGCTTAACTTTTTTTATATATAAATATAGCAATAAAATTTATAACTATTATGATGCCGACAGAATAGCACGGTAAATAACAGATACACACTGAAAAATTTGCAACTAATTATTAATGTAGTAATGTACGTAGTACGTGTAGTAGCTGAAGAAGTTACTTTCTGCTTTCAGACAATTGACGATGAGCTCGTAAATTTTTTATAGTATTCATCAACATGGGTAACACGTGGGCAATTTAGAGCCGGGAGATAAATTATACGATATTTAAATATATTTTTAGTCTTTTTAAATTTAGTATAAATTTATTTTTGTCTTTTAAATTTAAAATTATTATTTTTAATTTTTATAATTTTAAAAAATTTTATTTTAGTTTTATATTTAAACTTTGTTAAAAAATTTATCAAACATTATTACATAAAATCTATTTATTGGTATTTCTATTAGTAAAAATATCACATTAAATCTAGTTGATATTACATAACTGTTTTAATTAGTCACTTTCAAATATGTTATTGATGATCTAAAAGATTAAAATAAAATTTTTAAATATTACAGGAACTAAAAATAACAATTTTAAATTTAAGAGATCAAAAATAAATTTAACTTAAATTTAAAGGACTAATTAAAAATATATTTAAACCATTATTCAACATCAAAATCTCACCACCTTGAATTAAAACCTCATTTTTCTTCAACGAATGCCAGGACCTCTATGGAACCACTTAAATTTAAATTGAACCACTTAAAAAAATTGTCTTTTTTTAACTAAACTTCTATATTCGTGGTAATTTAAGTTTTTATTAATAAGACAATATGTTTGATGAATGTATACCAATCTCTTTAATGAGAAATTTTTACGGAAATAATATTTTTTAAAAGAAAAATTATAAAAATGACACCTGTGCAAGTTTATTTACAGGAATAGAACGATTTACTGTTCATGCTCGGAATTTGGTTCCCCGGGAATCGAATTCTGAACTTCAAAATTTTTTTTTCTTTTTTTTCTTCTCAGAATTCGGTTCCCGGGGAACCGAATTCTGAGTTAGTTTTAATTTTCTTTTCGTGCTTGTGGCCCATTTTGGGCAAATGTTGGAAGTGGAACGGCCCGTTCCGAAAGCAGAACGGGCCGTTCTGCTTAAAGAAACAGAGTCTTTTTTTTGAAATTAAAACGGGCTAAAAACGGCCCGTTCTGCTTTCGGAACGGGCCGTTCTTAGCCCATTTTAATTTCAAAAAAAAGACTTTGTGTCTTTAAGCAGAACGGCTCGTTCCGGAAGCAGAACGGGCCGTTCCACTTCCAATATTTGCCCAAAATGGGCCACAAACATGGGAAAAAAAATTAAACTAACTCAGAATTCGGTTCCTCGGGAATCGAATTTTGAGAAGAAAAAAAAGAAAAAGAATTTTGAAGCTCAGAATTCGGTTCCCAGAGAACCGAATTCCGAGCATGAACAGTAAACCGTTCTATTCCTGTAAATAAACTTGTACAGGTGTCATTTTTGTAATTTTTCTTTTAAAAAATATTATTTACGTAAAAATTTCCTTTAATGAATGCACGAATTTTTATTTTTCATCCAGAAGCTTTTTTCCTTTTTCTTTTTCCATTCACTTACTACTTAAGTTAAAAATAATTATCATATGTTGATGTTTTAGGAAAGAGAAAACTTAAGGAAGAAGAAAATATATATAAAAAATATGCACGCAATTAATGATTTTAAAGGACATTTAAGAAGCCTACCTTTTCTTTTATTCATTCTTATATTTTTTAATTGAAATAAAGGTTAATATTTTTTATACTATTACCTCCTTTTTTTTAATAGTGGGGATGTAATAGGATGAAGTGGATATATACAAGTAATAGTTCTGTACTATTTTTTTAATCGAAAAAATATTTGTCTTATATTTATTTTTATATTTGTGCAAGTATCTGTTATAAATAGGTATATATCTGCATATTTTTTTAATATTTATGAATATTCACAAATACCCACAAGTATTTACTAAAAAAGATATCTTAAAAATATTCAGTAAAATATTTTAATTATACATTTTAGTTATTTTTAATAGTCTTTTTTTAAAAATTTATAAAAGTATGCATAATTTTTTTTTGAAGGTTATAATTAAAATTTAAATAAAATCTGCATCAATTTATTTTTAAGATTATAAAATTAAAATTCAAATATTCTTTTCAATTATACTAATAACAGTAAGTAGATTTAAAAATTAAATTTTAAATGTTTAATCATATAAGTTTAAAGTTCAAATAGTTAAAATAAAATATATTGATTACATAAATTAAAATAAAATATAATAAAATATAATACTTAACTATTAAAAGTCTAAACAAAATTCAAATAAACCCTAAACGTTAAACAATAAAATAAATATCTTGATATTCACAAGTACAGATACTATGAAATTCGTACTCTTTCAGTTAACATGCGAGTATAAAAATATTCATAACCGTTATCCACAAATATCGTTACCCACAAATAACAAATATTTGTTTATAATATTCATTTTTTACCTGTTATTTATCCGCCGATAATCACTAGTATGAACTTTTTTAACTTTCCTAATAATCATTGCAATTAATAATTTTTGAGGATATTTAAGAAGTCTAACTTTTCTTTTATTCGTTCTTATCTTTTTAAATTAGAATAAAGATTAATATTTTTATATTACTCTCTTTGTTAATAGTCATCTAGAATTTTTATATGCAAACCAATAAATGTATTAAAACATTATTTTCAATAAAATAATTTTGATTTCTTTTATAAACAGACTTTTTTTTCTTTCATTTCATTCATGATAAAAGTATAAATACAAGTAAAAATTTGCTCAAAAGCACGACTATTAACATCCAATGGTGATGTTCAAACTAAAGTATGAACAATATGGTTTGTTTGTCTTCATACAAAACTTAGAAGAGTTTGAGAGAGAGAAAAAAAAAAGCATGTTCTACATTTAGATAATAAAAAAAAAATTGCAAGTTTTAACAACCAAGTGAAGATTTGCAGATACCATCAGCTATAACTTTGTAATCCACCTCAACGACAACATTCTAAATACCAATTTGTACTAACCAATTCAATGCTTGGAGAAGATCCCATGCATCGACTTAAATTGGGTATGAATACCATTCATAAAAATTAGTGATTTATTCTTTATATAGCATTAAGTAACTTATTTATTAAATATTATATATAAATAACTTTTGTAATACTAGAAATTTAAATAAAATATATTGATGGAATAAGATAAAACAAAATAATTTTATTAAATCTATTCAACATGTACAATTAAATTAAATTTCACAAAGGCATAAAAATTTATGTCATAAAATATTTCTAAACATATTCATAAGCAAATTTATTCTTATATTGTATTTATTATATTTATTGATTACAATGCCATATTTGTCAAATTATAAATTAAAGTTATTTCTTTCTTACATAGTATTAATTTATTTCTTTATTAAATCCTATATCTATTAAACTTTGGTAATATTATCGAATACTATAGCGAATAATGACAATATGTTTAACTAAGTTTAAATCTTAAAAATCAATGCATAGAACCAGGCATCTCTTCATAGTCCCTTATATATGTATTATGTTAGCAACTTGATGATTTTTCTTGAAAATCATAATCTAACAATTTGCTTATATACGTTGGTCTTTGATTTACCTCATCCCCTAAGTTTATTTCTTCGAGAAGATGAAGATCCCGCGCCTCTGTCTTTTTGATAGTTTCGGATACTGGTTTCTTAAAACCAAAAGGAGAATTACCATATATACAACCTAAGTGAGAATAATGTCTTTTTCTCGATAGTTTTCTCAACTATCTCTTGTTCCTTGAGATCAATCTTGGGAGTTTTTCTCATTTTTCTCGATAGCATTATCAATTATTTTCTCTTTATCATTTTTTGATTGTCAAAACGAAACTTTTCTCAATTTTGGCTAATAAGGCCATTTGATTATTATAATAATTTCTATATTTTTTTTTC